AAGGATTGCCTCTCACTTGTATTATATCAAAAGCAGTTGGTAATTCAAAGGGCATCTGGTAGAGGTCTGGAGAAAAAAAATCACAAAAAGAAGGAATAGGAACTAAAAGAAAATTTTCTGAGTCTAAAGAAATAGCCCAATTTGTATGCTGAAATGCCCCAAAAAGAATGCTTCTGAGAAATGAAGCCACCAACACAAGCAAGTTGAGAAATTGGCCGTAATGGAGTATCTTTCAGCAAGGAAAGGGTGATTGAAAGGACAAAAGAAAAGGAAATCAAATGGAGTTCAGAGAGAGAAGAAAGCCAGGGTAGAGCTGAGGAAAGGGCTTTTGTCTGAGGTTTAAGCAAGGAGTCATTGCCTGAGGGAGCTGATTCCTGGTATGCATTGCACTGCCTTTGGCCCGAGCCATGATTGTTGCCCTTTTTTCCACTCAGAAAAACAAAAGTATCATGTAGCTTTTTCCACCTGCCCAAGGCTCTAGATAATGAAAAGAAAAGAATGAATTGCATGTAAGTGTATAGCTTTGATGAAAAAGCCCCTGAGCACACAATGACATGATTGGTTTAACAGGCCCCACACCATTTGTCTGACGGAGAAAGAGCTATTTTTGGACCTCACGTAGCAGAAGTCTATCACAAGTGAGCTCATAGGTATTGGTGATGCAGGTCCACTTTAAACAGCTGAAGGCTCAGTTCTGGATGCAAGCTGATTTCTGTGTTTGCTTCCAATGGAGTAGTTTCAAGCTGGAATAGAGTTTACTATGTGCCAGGCACCGTTCAAAGTTCTTTTCCTATAATAATTCTGATAATCCTCATAGTAGCCCCAAGAGATAGGTATTTTTATGATTGCATTTTGCAGATGAGGAAGCCATGGTACAGAAAGGTTAAATAATTTACCAAAGGTCAGCCAGAGAGGGGCAGAGCCTGTATTCCATGTACCAAACCCCCATGTACCCACCATCATATTTGGCAATGGCTTATATTTTTCTTATTTGCTTCAAGTCTTATTATAATTTATGAAAGAAAGGAAACAGTACACAGAAATTTTCTGTGCCTGTTATACTACAATTCTGAGTTTTATCCCCTTGTGCAGGAATGGGGGTGTTCATTCCAGTTTCTTTTTCAAATACATATATGTGTGTGTGTGTGTGTGTGTGTGTGTGTGTGTGTGTGTGTCTTATATCTAGGGACAATATATAGTGCTGTTTTCATATTTCAAACATATATATAATGCTACAGTTTGGATATCTGTCCCCCAAAGGCCCATGTATTACAGGCTCAATCCCCAGCCCATGATGTTATTGAGTGCTGGTAGAACTTATCTGAGGGGAAGTTAGAATACTAGGAGTGTGCCCATAAAGGGGACTGTGGGACCCCAGACTCTTCTTCCTTTTTCTCCTTTGCATTCCAGCCACAAGGTGAACGTTTTGGCTGTATCTTGCATTCCCTCCCAAGATGTACTGCCTTACAACTGCCCCAAAAGCAAGGGACCAATGACCAAGGACTGAAACCTCAAAAACTGTGAGCTAAAGTTAATTTTTCCTCTTTTTAAGTTGATTTTGTTCTGCATGACTAATCATTCAACTCAACACACATGCATGCAGTTTCTACAGATCAGAATACTCAGCTATGTTGTTATAGTAACAGAAACCAAACACATGTAAGTTGTGATACACCAGGTAAAGTAGTAACCTTTGTGCCACTTGCTTTTCACTCCATTTCTGACACAGGGCTATGTGCTCTGCTTAAGTTGATGGGAACCAATCTCTCTGCACCATCCAGTTGTGCATATACCAGCCACACTGGCCCCTGAGCACTTGAAATATGGATAGTGCAAATGTAGATGTGCTATAAATACAAAACACATGTAAGATTTCAAAGGCAGTATGAAAAAGAAGTAAATAACTAATGATTTTAATATTGGTTATGCATTGAAATAACATTTTGGATGTATTAGGTTAAACAAATGTTATTAAAATTAACTTCATTTGTTTTCTTTTTTAATTTTATTTTTTTGTTGTACTAGGGATTGAACACAGAGCCTTCACTCTGACCTACATCTCCAGTCCTTTTTATTTTTCATTTTGAGTTAGGGTCTTACTAAGTCACCAAGGCTGGGCTTGAACCTATGATTCTCCTGCCTCAGCCTCCTACAGTGCTGGGATTACAGGTATATGCCACCATGCCAGGCTAAGATGATGTTTTAGTTGCTTTAATTGAAGGTGTATTTTTTTAAACTATCAGTCTGGATTTTGTTAATTGGTAAAGGAGAAAGCCATACATTTGAATACTAAGAGGCATTGATATTTACCATACACAGATATTTATTCCAAGTGTTTTATAAGTTTCTTAGTCCATTGTGTGCTCTATAACAGAATACCAAAGACTGGGTAATTTATATTGAACAGAAAATCACTTTTCTCCCAGTTCCAGAGGCTGGGAAGGCCCAAGGACCCACATCTAGTGAGGTTCTTCTTGCTGCCATAAGATGGCAGAAGGCATTGCATGAAGAGAGAATAAGAAAGGATCTAACTTGCTTTTATAACAAACCCACTCTCTTAATAATGATTCCCATTCCTGTGATGGCATTAATCTGTTCATAAGGGCGGAGTCCTGGAAACCTAATCACCCACTGAAAGCTCCTACCTCTCAACTTGGGGATTTAGTTTCTAATACATATATGAACTTATGGGGGTACATTCAAACCACAGCAAAACAGGATAAACCGTCTAGTCTTCCTGCAAAGTTGCATGCTTGTACAAAGTGAGGGACAGTGAAGCAACTGACTAAAGTCATAAAACTTCAAAGAGGCTGAGTTGGGATTGGAATCAGGCAGATTGGCTCCAAAGCCTGACTTTTAAAGCACTAACAGGACAGGGTCCTATGAGAAATAGCATAAATTTGCCTAAGAAAGCAACAGCCATATCTTTTAACTTAGTGAAGTCTCTAACAATACATTCTCCACACATTTCAATGGAGTATCTGGCTTTTTTTTTTTTACTTCTAGCAAAGAGGCTATAAAGACACACATTTTCTGCAGCAATTTCTGCCTTAATGAAACCAGCATAGGCAGTATTTTTGTGACATCCACTTGCAATGTTATAAAGCTAGCTTTACTCTTTTCCACTAATTATATTAACTATTTTAGGGCAAATTGTCAATGGCTGTGATACTTGTTCATCCTTCCAACATTTTCAACTTGTTTTCTTTAGCCATATCTATTTATACCTGAAGTGTTTTCATTTTTAAAGAGATGTCTTCATTATTCTGCCAACGATAAAATTGGGGCTTGTAATTAAGTTATAAAACACATTGAGAGGGAAACGATGACGTGTGGTTGTCATGGGGATATTATTGATGACTATTGGATTGCTTTTCTAATTCTGAGCAAAAATACACTTTTAACATTTCGAACCATAAAGTTACAGAACAGAAAGGAACCTAAGGTCTCCTAAATGTCACTTTAGACCATAGACTTGGTGTCAGGCAAACCTTGTGATGATGTGACCTTGGGGTGGTACTGTAAACATTGTAAGCCTATTTCCTCATCTATAAAATGGGGATGCTGACATCTACTTTCAAGGGCTCTTTGAGATAGCAATTGTAACTGTTCTTTAAAGCTACTTTTATTCCATAATAGTTGTGGTAGTTACTATTTTTGTTACTTCCATTCTGCTATCATTATATCCCCAGATGATTCCAAGAGTGTACAGGCCCCTTTCTCCTCCATTCTCTACCAGAACTCTTGAGCTCTTCCTGTAGTTCAAGGTTAGAAGGAATAAAATACTGCAGTTCTCTCTCTCCATTTGCTTTTCCCTCTGGGGCAGTCTGGGCAGCTCTGGCTGAAGAAAGCTATGATGAGCTCCTTAACTACAGCACATGTCCCCTTCCCCACGAATCTGCTCCACGTGCCCCTCCCAAGCCCCTGAAAATAGCAGCATCAGATGCTGTCCTTGGGATCTGCCACCATGCCCTGAAGTGCTCTGTTCACCTTACTTACTGAATGTGGGCTTCCTTGCCTCTCTTTACTGCCATGATGATGGCCTGAGGAAGATCAAGCCCAACCAGCTAACAATTTTCCTAGCTTGTGTCTTCTGCACATTCACCAAGCTTAGGATAGCTGTGCCCGTTGCTGGAAATATGTAATACAGCCTTCATATCGCACTTGTTTTGAGAAGCACAAATACAAACCTATCAGAAGTCCTCCTCTTTGGCCCCAGGATTCTAAAGGGTCCTTTTGGGGTTAACTATGTATGTGAAATCAGAACGTACTAGTTAACTCACCGGAGGCACTGAACTAAGTAAGATTTTAGAGATAAGGAAACGTGGACCTAAAAGCTTAAGGAACTGACCCAAAGATAATGAGGGTATCTGATGATCTCTTTCTTCTAGCATAAATTGATTCCTGGTGTGAATCCCTTCTGCCTTGTATTGAAATTCCCTACATACACATCTAGCCAGCCAGCCAGCCAGCAGATGCATACCAATGCTTGTTGAGTTGAATTATTATTTTCTCCCTCTGCTGCCATGTGGAACTTGGAGAGCACAATTTACTTGCTCCTGTGTCCTTTGGCTTCATCCCGGGGTCTCGCACTATGGGCTCAGCTGGTGTAGGAGTACAGGCCTTCGTCCTAGACTATGTGCCTACAGAGCTCAGGCTTCGCACAGGCACTCCCTAAATGTCATCCATTCTTCCTGCCATGTGATGGGTCCTCTCTAGACCTCTGAGAGCTGAGTATGCAGCACTTTATTTACCTCAAGGCTACCTGTTTGTTGTTTTTGGACCCTCTTCGTCATATGAATAGCAATAAGAAGACTGTTACTTCTAAAATAAGCCTTCTATTCCAGGCTATTTAATAATTTAGCTATCTTGATTCACAACCAAATCCAGGCCACCTCAGACCCACCCACAGCTTGTTGCCTAGCAACAGTCTCCTCCGCCCCTGCTCCTTTGCCCCATCCCAGGCCCAATGCGCATGCTTAGTACCATCCCAGTCTCGCTAGAGCGCGTGGTAGTGACGTAAGTGGTTTGCGACGCCGTCGGCTGGCCGATTCCTAGAGTCCTGCTGATTGACTCGCTAACTAAGCCGTGCGCTATGGCCTCCGCCGGGGTGGCGCCCGGGCGACAGTCGGAGGATGCATTACCTCCACCATCCGAGTCGTCGCTGCCAGAGACCAAGCCGCTGCCGCCTCCTCAGCCACCTCCACCGGTTGCCGCGCCCCAGCCGCAGCAGTCGCCGGCGCCACGGCCTCAGTCGCCGCCCGGCATAAAGGAGGAAGAAAACTACTCCTTTTTACCCTTGGTTCACAACATTATCAAATGGTAAGCGCCTTGAAGAGGGCTAGCCACCGCATTCCCACTGGCTTCTCATCCCGCACATTTCAGACTACCAGAGACCTAGGTGCTCTGGGATACGCCCCCATTTCACAGATGGGGAAACTGAGACCCAGAGAGGGAAAACGGGGGCCGAGGATTTAGCTCAGTGGTTTCATCGCCTGCTGTGCAAGCGGAAGGACCTGAGTTCGATCTCTGGTACCAACCCCCCACCCCCAACACACACACACAGAGGGAAAAGGTATTTTCCTAAGCCACACAGAGTCAGCCTGTGACTTCAGCAATCTCCTTGATTCCTGAGAGCTGCTATTTGTTTAAGAACGAGGCCCGCTCATAGGCTTATGTATAGGCTCTGTGGCCCAGCTGCTCTAGTTTTTATTCCAATCATATGAGCAAGTTAAGCTTCTCCGAGCCTCAGTTTTCTCACCTTTAATATGGTTTAATAAGTCTGAGTCTCCCTTACCTGGCATGCTTGGGATCAGACGTTTGCCCGGATTTTGGATTTTTCCCGATTTTGAAATGTTTACATATACCTGATGAGATACCTTGGGCATGAGACCCAAGTCTTCATACAAGTAGCCCGAAGGCAATTTTATACAGTATTTTTAATTCATTCGAGTTTTAACTGCTACTGGTTATATGGAACCAAGTCTGGAATTTTCCACTTGTGGCATCATGTAGGCAGTCAGGTTTGCAGATTTTGGCGCATTTTGGAATTTTAGATTAAAGTTGTTAGTCCTGTGTTCAATTTGGTTCCTTTTAAAAAACAGATACAGAACTTGTCATCTTACCCCTGTGGCACATTGCCAAATACTGTGGATGTACCCAGTAAAACTGGCCAATGTTTTACCCCCTTCATCAGTTAGAAGGAAAGAAAAAACACATTAATAACCCATAATTCAAAAGAAAGTTGAAAAGTAAAGAGTGATGAAGGGAAACATTAAAGGAGGACACAAAAGTTGCCTCAAATGAATAGATTCCCATACTGTACTAACTTTGTTCTAACATAGGATCAGAGGATGTGTTTGTCCTCTTTTTGGCCAAGTCTCTGATCCTTGTATATGCTTAAGTTATTTTTATTATGTTACTTCTGCATACAGTCATGTCACTTAACAACGAGGATGTGTTCCAAGAGGTACAGCATTGTTCCAGCCTCCAAGAGGATATTTTCATAGAACAAGGTGGTACAGGTCAGTCTCTGGATTTGGCCTGCGATGCAGTCAAGAGACGCAGTAAACTGGGTGTCGTAGTACAAGCCTGCAATCCTAGCACTGTGAGAAGCCGAGGCAGGAGGATAGGAAATTTGAGCGCAGCCTGGACAACTTAGTGAGTCCCTGTCTCAAAATAAAGTAGGGGTGAGGATGTAGCTTAGTGCTTTAAAGACACTGGGTTCAATCCCTAGAACCACCAAAGAAAAGAAAAAGACAGATTCACTAAAAACATGAGGGGTCCTGTATAATAGGATACAATTACAGTGACTTCTTTTTAATATATAATAAGGAATACACTCTAAAAGAACAAAAAATTACATAAACCAGTAACATTTATTATTAAATATTGTGCATTGCCCATAATTGTACATGCCACACTTTTATATAACTGGCAGTGCAGTATGTTTGTAAACCATCATGAGTGGTGGATTATACTACAGTGGTTATGATGGCTGTCATATCATTAGGCAATAGGAAGTTTTCAGCTCCATTAAATGGTAGGATCACCATTGTATACGTGGTGTGTTATTGACCCAGTGGTCATTCAGTCCTTGACTGTGTGTCCACATGATAGGTGTCAACCCTTAGGCTTGTCACTCCTGTTCAGCTAGTAAAAACAGAAACACTCTGGAAGGCTGAGGTAGAAGGACTCCCAAGTTCAAGGCCAGCCTGAGCAACTTAGTGATTTAGCAAGACCCTATCTCAAAATAAAAAATAGAAATTTTGAAAAAAACCAATGAGAATGTAGCTTAGTTCAAAGGCCCTGGGTTCAATTCCTAGTATTGCAAAAAAAGTAAATTAAGGCACAATTCCCATTTTAGTAATCTTCAGATATACATTAGTGTGGTCTTGTTCTTTGATGATTTGCTGAAATGGGATTGGCACTCACAACTTTGAAAGCCTTGAGTATTTCAAGTTTAAACAGCCCAAATTCACTTGTGGGACGGCCTAATGCTCTTCCACCACTTATCCCTTTCTTAGTTCTCACATTAGACCCTCATTTATTTTGCTTCCCTTGGTGTAAAAATACTGTTTATAGGGTAAGGCAGATTCTGTTCTCTTTTCATTAGTCTGAAATGGTAAAATAGCACTTTTCAAGAGCAATGGGATGGCAAACAGAAATGTCCATACAAACCCCGAAATCCTGGGCAGGGCTGAATTATAAAGGGGCTTTCTAAATCCACATGTACTGATTTTAAGCAGTATGGAAGAATTAAAACATAAAAGGTACAGATTTACAAAGATAGCTCTTGGAACTGGGAGAATATATTCTTGAGTCCCAGGAGAGCAGTTGGATTGGATGAGCCTTAAAGATGGGGTACTAAAAAATGGGGTACTAAACTGTACTAGAGAACAAGCTCTGAAATCAGACAGTCCTGAGTTCAAGTTTGTGTGCTGACATTTCCTTGCCTTATCTCTTGAAAGATACTTAGCCTTCCTAGGCTGTATTTTTCAGTCTCTCCCATGTCATAATGGACCTCAAATGATAGGTTCAAATTACAGCTTTATAGTGTATCGGCTGGGTGACCTTGAGCAAGTAACATAGCTTCTCCAAGCCTCTTTTTCTCTTGTGAAGTGGAACAGTAATACTGAAGTCACTGCCAGGTGTGGTGGCACACGTCTGTAATCCCAGCACTTGGGAGGCTGAGGCAGCAGGAATGCCCCAAGTTCAAGGCCAGCTTGGGCTACATAATGAGTTCAAGGCCAGCCTGAACTAAAGAGTGAGACTCTGTCTCAAAAACAAAAGTACTTAAGTCCTAGAATTATGAGATATACTGAAGAGCATACCTGTGTAAGATTGTGTGTCACATGTATTTCTCTAAAAGGACAGTGAAGGGATCTTTTTAAAAGCATAAAACCAAAAAGAATAGGACAGGAGATAATTGCCACAAAGCAGATAGGCAAGAGCTCACTCACCTAACAGCCCTGAAGCAGCCACCTTTGACCATATCCTCCCCTCAGATCTCAGGAACTCTGGTAATGCAGTAACCTCTGGAAGTATGAGGAAAGGGAGGACTGAGAACAAGATTACTTAAACATCTAAGAAGCAGTCCTGCTTCATTGATTAGTTCTATCCTTTCTTCCAAGTAGCCATCTACCCTTCTTCCATCTTGGCAGATGATGGAAGGAGTAAGCCAGAGACTGTCTGACTGGGAGACACCAGCCACGTTGCACACATAATGAGGGAGACATTCTGAAAGCAGAAAGTAGAAAAGTGAAAGCTCGCAAGCTGAATAGTGAGCAACCCCCATCCTTCTTGACCTGGCTTCTGGTGTCTCACCAGCTCAAGAGAAAAGATGTTGGAAAAGAAAAAGACCAAAACAAAAAGACTTTCGATACTCAAGAAAGAGCCTGGTCAGTTCCTTCTGAGAAAGTAAAAATGTGTCACTTGTACTCAGAGCTTCCTTTTAGTGTTTTACTCTAAGAACATGCTGCAGCAGCCCAGGTCCCTGTAAGCTAAGGGTGAAAGCCCTGGCCAGGACAGGACTAGGCAGAAGAGGGGAAACAGTGTGCACAGACGGAGTGAACCAGGAAAAGAGAATAGGACCCAGTCTGAAAATCTTGGTGTGTGTATGTATTTGAGTTTACAGGCTAATGAAGAAGGAAACAGGGCAGGGGACCCAGGGACAGGAGACCTTGGGAAGCCTGGAAAAGTCGGAGGCTTATAAAGGTTGATACTAATGCTAAGTTTGAAATTAGGAGAGGGAAGAAGGGAATGGGTAAGGATGTGAAGCCAAAAAATAGCATTGACTCGTTGGGGTTGACTCTCACTTTGGTGGCACTGAGCATAAACCCAGGGTAGGAAGGAGGGCAGGATGGGGCACAGCGGGGAGCCAGGATATAGAGGATAGCAAATCCCTGGATGCAGAGGGCAGAACACTTTGTCCTCTGAGGTTTGAGGAGTTGGTGAAATGAATAGGCAAAGAAGCCAGTCCTGGCAGGTAGCTCTCCCAGGCCATTGTACCTCCCTCCCTCTCCTGTACTTCCCCAGCAGTCCTTCTATTGTTTGCTCCTTGTGGAGGAGATAAATAAGGAATTAAAAGCTGACTTAATGAATGTAGCCTTTCTTGTTCTCATAAAGTTCAGAGTGTTACACCATTAGTCTTCAAAAATTATTGAGGGAAATGTAACAGTTGCACATTCAGTAGTAAAAAGTGTAACTGCTTGTGAATGCTTTCGGAAGTTTCCCTCCAGGAATTACACATGTAGTTGCCTTTTGAAAAATTTACACAAATTGGGATCATGCTGGGTTGTGCCTTTTCACTGATTAGTCTGCTCTGGATGCCTTTTTGTGTATGTAGCAGTAAAGACCTACCTCATTAAGGCAGCTGCAAAGAATTCCACCTCAAGGATTATGTAATTTATGTAAATGATCTTCTTTATATGAGTTTTTAGGTTTTTTCTAATTTTTGCTGTTGCCAGCAGTGCTGGGATAAGTATCTTTATATTTCAGTAAGTTTATGAGAAGGTAAATCCTCAGCAGTGAGATTACTGGAGCAGAGGGCACATGCATTTTTTTTATTTTGATAGCTATTGCTCAATTTAGCAATCACAGTGTATTGCTACATCATTTTAGCTAACTTCTCCAGAATTCGGTTCTGCAGTCTGGGATGCTTCAGTTAACCTAAAAATTCTATTAACCTAAAAAACCCCATAAATCTGCCACCCTGAAAGCATAAAAAAAAAAAATTTCAAGTATGGATGGATTCTAAGATTTACCGTGGATATAAGGTGGAACGTGATTCTTCCCCTCTGCTCTTCCTAGCTCCCTCCCTT